TCCCCCAACAAGAAATTCCTCTGAGTTTGCAGTGTAAGATTGCCATTGATATTATCCATGTCCAAGGGATGGTAACATCCTGGCGACTGACAACGTCTCTAAATTCTCTTATGTGCGACAAAAGTGCAATAGTTGTTGACTCTTCGCGATATTTAGTATGTTTGGCGTTCCTCAGCAAATTGTGCATGACAACAGTCTGCAGTACATTAGTGCATCTTTCCGAGTCATGTGCAGGTAATGTGGTGTACAACACATTGTCTCTTTTGCTGTCTATCCTCAGCCTCATGGTTTTGCAGAATGCAGTGTTCATACAGTAAAATCCATGATAGTCAAAGGTAAAGTGACTTAACTATGTTTTCAGGTAGCTATTCTACATCTACATACTACTCCACAAATTTATCCTCACTGGTAGCTCTCATGTTTGGGAGACAGATCCACACAGTTTTCCCCTCACGCAGTCTCACCATCCAACTATGTGCGTGATGCATTGCTGAAAAGCAAGAAGAAGGTGGTACAAAAGCATGAGCAATAACCATGCAGACAGTCATCCCAACATGAACCAGGACAAAGCATAAGAGAGCGAGATTTTCAAATGGACACATGGGTTTGTTTAAAGCTATTACATTGTGGTTATCCTAGGTCATTTGACATTGAAACGAACAATAGTCAGTAAAGAAATAGATACATATACAAACTGCATCCACCATGCCCACCACAAAGGATGACAACTTGGATATTGAAAATATCATGCCATACAACAACCACACATCTACGACTAATCGTACACATCCATCTGTGGTGACAGTCAGCACACTACGAGTGTAGCTACAGAGTCAAGTTGTGATCATTGTGTAAGAACTAGATCTAGTTAACTCTTAAGTTCAACAAAACATTATTTAAACCTGGGAGGTGGGGGTGGAGTGAATATTGTGTTGTTGCATAGATTCCAGAAGGTAGTTACAGAACATGTGACATTCCAATATAAAACTATCCACATTGCCTCTGTCACTCTGTGAATAATGAAATTGGTATAGTATGTTCAGGTAGTTACATATTTTTAATGCAAAGTAACATCAGTAAGCACAGAACCCACCCCCAGGCTATGTGGTAAGCAATGTAAATAGTGTTGCTAATAAACCTCAAGACATCTGGTTCAAGTAAAACCCGATCTTTGTGGTATGTTATGCGACATAACATACAGAGCTGCATTCCATGCATACTAGCAATGGTGCTGGACCCAAGAAACTGCATTAAAAGTAATCCCTGAAGTTTTGGTTACCAAATATTTGACGACCTTTAACCATTTTGGGGCAAATCATGAGACTGAACCTGAGTCTGTAGTAAATCTGCCCTCTCTGATAAAATGTTGCTGGTGCTGGGGGTATGGATCACAGCGAGAGTGATAGCTTATTGTTCGTTAGTTGGCCATCTGTGCACAATCTGAGAATACATGACTCTGTTCTCCACCTGTATTGATGATCAAACAATGAACTTTCACTCAGTTAACTACTACTGAAGGAAACATAATATGATAGTTTACAGTGCTAAATTGTTAAATATGGGAAAAAGGTTCATGATTCCCTAAGAGATAAAATATTTTCATACTCATACCTCATTTCATTTATCTCTCCACCTCTCTCCTCTGTTAAAAATTGGATGTTTCATCTGAGCGTCTAAACCTTTCTGTCAGGCTCAGATGGGGTTCAGAGCCTGAATGTGTGGAAAGAGTCACTCGTTGTGATTTTCGCCAGACCTGCCCATTAATGACTGGAGGGTGGACATGCCGTCCAATTAGAGAAGGTGGGTAGGCCCTTTAAACTGGTGGCCCAATTGGAGGCCTTCCAATTCGAAAGCAGCACAGGTTGCTTTGGAAATGAAGGACAGCATGTTTTAAAATGGAGGCATTCTGCCTGCAATATTTTGAACTTTAATTGAAAAATTGGTATTTTCAGCTAGGCCAGCACCACCTTGGGGGCAGGAAGGGGGGAATCTCCTCCACCAGGCAACCTATGGCTGCTGCTGCCCTTAGGCAGGATGGGAGGGCCCCACTAGAGCAGTCTGGGACATTGGTGCCCAGTCTGGCACAGGGCTGCCACCTGCAGGCAGTTAAATGGGTCCCACGCCCTGCAGTTCCAGCCAGCCTCTGCTAACAGGTTCTTAATTGGAAATTAATAGCTTTATTTGGTTACCCACTATGTGTGCTAGTGTATAACTGCTACACCAGATCCCACCTCTGGGAAAATGGATCCAGGGAAAAGAATAAAGACTGTGGTGCTATTTTTAGCACTCATGCAATTCTGTGCCAGCCTCATTGGTATCTAAAAATCAGTCCCTGTACACATCATCACCTATTCTTATGTTTGTCTCTTTGGTTTGGTGCAATTCTCGCCTGATTACTTTCCACCGGAACTCTTTGGCACTTTTTTTTACTCAAAGGCACGATATAAATGCAATTTATTGTTGTTGCCTTGTGTTACTGAATGTAACTTTTGGATTAAGCTTCCTATACAATGTCCCTGAGCATCTATACATATTTCTGTCTACCAGCCTTGCAGTCGGTGAAATATCACAAAATGTGGGTTTTTTGTGTCTGAGTCGGAAATGCCGATTTTAAACCATGTTGTTGAATGAATTTGGGTACTTCTTGTTTTATTTTGAAACTCACATGATTAATTTGACATCTTAAATAATTGTGTTTTCAGATAGTAAATGTAACTTGATAGCAATGAAAAACTCCATTTCTGTGGATATGCCAATAAGTTACATTGCTTTGACAATTTGAATGATGTCGCTAACCTTGAAACTCCATTTGATACATTTAATCAGATGTCAGCAACTGGAAAAAGGCTTAAAGTTTCATTTTGAATTTTGTTTTAAACAGTCAATTCATATCAACAAAGAATGGAGACATTCAAATGATATATTGTTATATATAAATATTGAGTGCTGTTTTGGTCTTCTTATCTGAGGAAGGATGAACTTGATATGGAGAGTGCAGCAAAGATTGATTCCTGGGATGGCAGGACTGACATATGAGGAGAGATGGATTTGTTTAGGTCTATAGTCACTGGAGTTCAGAAGAATGAGGGTGAATCTCATAGAAATCTATAAAATACTAGCGGGACTAGACAGGTAGATGCATGGCGGGGGAATTCAGAACTAGAGGTCATAGTCTAACGACACAGGGATAAACCATTTAGAACTGAGATGAGGAGAAATTTCTTCACTCAGAATGGTCAGCCTGTGGAATTTGCTACCACAGAAAGCAGTTGAAGCCAAAATATTGTATGATTTCTCGAAGGAGTTTGATATAGCACTGGAGCTAAAGGGGTCAAAGGATATGGGGGAAAGGCAAGATCAGGCCATTGAGCTGGATGAACAGCCATGATCATAATGAATGGCAAAGTAGTCTTGAAGGGCTGAATGGCCTACTCCTATTTCCTATATTTCTATGATTGATTGAATTTATATTTATTCAAAGTAAAATTTGGGAATGCCGAGAACTTATGCTGCAAATTAATTTTACCAAACCTTTTGAGTACTGAATTACTCCTACCAATGTAGCACTTTTGTTTTGTCCATTTCAGGCCTGTGTTGTCATTACTCACTGACCATTAGATAATCATACTGTGTTAGTCTCAACTCCAGCTTCGGAATCTCACTTTTCTAAGGTGAAGCAAGGCGATGGGTTATGGAATGATAAACGTTCATCCGAGATAGTATTTGGTCTCTGCTGATATAATGCAAAACAATCACTTTATAGTAAGTAAGGTCACCATAGTTTTACCAGCTCATACCAGACTGTCATTACAGATTGATAACTGGTGGTAGTTTAACCTGAGGGTCACCATGTCTCAGGCAAGGAGAGAAGTTGTTATGGTCCTGGGCAGACCTATTCCCAAGTCCTTCGCCTCCGTCGCATCTGCTCCCAGGATGAGGCATTCCACTCCTGTACATCTCAGATGTCCTCGTTTTTCAAGGACTGCAACTTCCCCCCCTCAGTGGTCGAGAATGCCCTCCACCGTGTCTCCCACATTTCCCGCAACTCATCCCTCACACCCCGTCCCCGCAATAACAACCAAAAAAGAATCCCCTTTGTCCTCACCTACCACCCCACCAATCTCCGGATCCAATGCATCATCCTCCGACACTTCCGCCATCTGCAATCCAACCCCATCACCAAAGACATTTTTCCCTCCCCACCCTTATCTGCTTTCCGGAGGGACCACTCTCTCCGTGAATCCCTTGTCCGCTCCAAACTCCCCTCCAGCCCCACCACACCCGGCACTTTTCCCTGCAACCGCAGGAAGTGCTACACCTGCCCCCACACCTCTTCCCTCACCCCCATCCCAGGCCCCAAGAAGACTTTCCACATCAAGCAGATGTTCACCTGCTAATGTGGTATATTGCATCCGCTGTACCCGTTGTGGCCTCCTCTACATTGGGGAAACCAAGCG